GAATAATTAAAAGATTAGAAGGTCATACCAGGGCCATTACTTGCTTAACATGGTATAAAGATACTTTGGAACAACAAATCAAATCATTTGATCAAGAAAATTCTTATTTAGAAGACAACCATCACAATGATTTAGTTCACATCAATACATCAAAATTTATAAGATCCGAGTCAGCATCACCAGGTGGTACCGATATTTCTGAAACTGGTGATTATATGGATCTCGATGATTTGAACTTGACCAATAACGATACTAATAATATTATTGATAGCAATGAAAATGGCAATGGTAACGAACCTCAAATAGATAATGATAATTCAATAGAAGAAATAGGAGCATCATCATCATCAAATACACATGACTCGATAGAAAATTCATTAATAGATAATAATGTTGTTGATAATAAAAATATTAATGATCCAATCGTTATTGAAACAATTAGAATTATTTCATCTTCTGCCGATTCTACTATTCATATGTGGGATCTTAATACAGGTCAATTAATTGGCAGTGCAAAAGATCATAATGACATAGTATGGGATCTTCAATGTAATTCATCTAGACTTGTTTCCGTCTCTTCGGATGGATTTATTAAAGTGCGATCATGGCAAAACTGTAATGATGATAATACTAACCCTTCATCGTCATCATCATCAAACACAAATATTTACAATCGAAAAAGAAATTGTATTTATAATTCACAAAAACAATACCTAGTCGGACCATCTAATAATAATAGAAGTAATAAGAACAATCATACCATGTCAGATAATTTCCCACAATCTTATGATCATGAGAAAATCCTTTTTGCTCCAGCTGCCGCTCTTGTTGAAGTTGATTGTGGTATCAAATGCCTTTTAATGACTCGCGAATGGTTAATTTGTGGAACGGAAGATGGAATTTTAATCGCTTTAGAATTTCGTTGTTAATTTATAATCGATCAAATTGAATACTTTGTTTTTTAAAAAAAATCTTTTTTTTACGTATTTTATTTTATTTTATTTTATCGTATCGAAAAAAAAAAACGTTTTTAGTTTAGTTTTGAGTAATTTACATTAAAATTTTGTTTGTTGTTGTAAGTTATAAAAAAAATCTACAGAAAATAATTAAGCTACATATGATATATTAAGATTATATTAAGATTAAGATTATAATTAAGATTATAAGATTATAATAATAAACAAGCTCCAAATGAAAATACTTATAATGAAAGAATGGAAAATTTCAAAGATTGGTATAACAAAGTATATATAATAGTATTGAAAAATTATACAAATTATACTTGGAAATAGTCAACCAAGAAGAAAAAGTAGAAAAACGATCTAAAGCAGAAGTAGATGAACTACTTCAAAAGATATATGGCTTAGAAATTTAGCAAAGCTAGCGGGTCTGATTCATTTCATCGACAAGTCGACACCCATTTCGTCGAAAGTTTGTTTCATCGAATGTTCATTTCGTCGAATGTTCATTTCGTCGAATGTTCATTTCGTCGAAAATTATTTCGTCACAAAAAAAAAACTTCATTAAACAAATTTCTCCTCACACTTCCCACACACCCCGCTTTCTTCACTTAATTTCTTAACTAACTTCCCACACTCCTTACATCTAACTCGTTCGGTCCCTGGCTCGAGGATGAAATAATTTTCGACGAAACGAACATTCGACGAAACAAACATTCGACGAAATGAACATTCGACGAATGAACTTTCGAAGAAACAAACATTCGACGAAATGATTGTCGACGAAATAATTTTCAACAAAGTAAACGCGACCGATATTATATTTTATTTAATAATTCCCTATATTTAAAATTAACAATATATAACTAGAATATCATTTAAGACCTGGATTCTCAGAGATGGATTATATTTTAAATGTGCAAAAGTATAGTAGTAATATATATATGTTTCTTCCATATTAAAAATTTATAGATTTCATTCATCCATTCTTTATTAATAAACAATTTATATGAGGATTCAATAGAGTATTTATAACATGAACTAATAAATTTAACATTAAAACTTAAATTATAAATGCATCTAAGATAACTGCTCCAATTTCCTTTGCTTGGATATTATTAAAGATTTTTTATTAATTAATTCATGTATCGTAGGATATACCAAACCCGCAGTACAGTAATTAGACCCACCTACTACTTAAGAGATAGCAATCTGTTGAAGAATGAAAATTTTCTGTGTACTTTCTTTCAAAATAAAATGCACATTCTTTTTTTTACAGATTAAAACTATTTCTTCTTTTATTGTTACATTTCATAAAATCAAAATGCATTTGATTTGTCTTTGATGCTTGAATTTGAAACACACATAGGCAGGTCAATATTGGTATGTAGAGGAACTTTTACATACATATGAGTTGTGTTAACTCTATGTTTTTTTGAATTTTGGCTTTGAAGTTAGTTAACTATGTGTAATAGTAAAATTAATAATAAAATAAAAACGTGCTTGAGCTGTCTTTAGTGCCTGTGTTTGAAGCAACATAAGTTGATCAATATTGGTATTGTCACCGATTAAATTTGGGAGAGCGTATTTTAATTGGTGATAACAATTATTTTTGTTTTTGCGTGAATAGGGATCAACGAATTGATTTTGTTATTAGCGTATAATTTTGTTTAAAGTTTATTTAAATAAAATATTACTATTTTATTTATTTAGTT